TTTTACAGTTGTCTACTATTGTGACGATGAAAAAATAGCAATAAAATTTTTTGTCCCGCTTTTGGTTTGTGAGAAATGAATTTTTTATTGGTATTTTTTCGAGTTTTAGGGATGAAAATGACAACATTCCCCGATGGCTTGGGAGTCTACAATTTTTTCACAGTTGTCTACTATTGTGAGGATGAAAAAATAGCAATAAAATTTTTTGTCCCGCTTTTGGTTTGTGAGAAATGAATTTTTTATTGGTATTTTTCTGATTTTTTCGATTTTTAGGGGTCAAAATGACAACTTTCCCCGATGGCTTGGGGGTCCACTATTTTTTCACAATTGTCTACTATAGTGAGGATGAAATAATAACAATAAAATTTTTTGTCCCGCTTTTTGTTTGTGAGAAATGAATTTTTTATTGGTATTTATTCGAGTTTTAGGGATGAAAATGACAACATTCCCCGATGGCTTGGGAGTCCACAATTTTTTTACAGTTGTCTACTATTGTGAGGATGAAAAAATAGCAATAAAATTTTTTGTCCCGCTTTTGGTTTGTGAGAAATGAATTTTTTATTGGTATTTTTCTGATTTTTTCGAGTTTTAGGGATGAAAATGACAACATTCCCCGATGGCTTGGGAGTCTACAATTTTTTCACAGTTGTCTACTATTGTGAGGATGAAAAAATAGCAATAAAATTTTTTGTCCCGCTTTTGGTTTGTAAGAAATGAATTTTTTATTGGTATTTTTCTGATTTTTTCGAGTTTTAGGGGTCAAAATGACAACTTTCCCCGATGGCTTGGGGGTCCACTATTTTTTCACAATTGTCTACTATAGTGAGGATGAAATAATAACAATAATATTTTTGGTCCCTCTTTTTGTTTGTGAGAAATGAATTTTTAATTGGTATTTTTTGGAGTTTTAGGGGTCAAAATGACAACTTTCCCCGATGGCTTGGGGGTCCACTATTTTTTCACAATTGTCTACTATAGTGAGGATGAAATAATAACAATAAAATTTTTGGTCCCGCTTTTTGTTTGTGAGAAATGAATTTTTTATTGGTATTTATTCGAGTTTTAGGGATGAAAATGACAACATTCCCCGATGGCTTGGGAGTCCACAATTTTTTTACAGTTGTCTACTATTGTGACGATGAAAAAATAGCAATAAAATTTTTTGTCCCGCTTTTGGTTTGTGAGAAATGAATTTTTTATTGGTATTTTTCTGATTTTTTCGATTTTTAGGGGTCAAAATGACAACTTTCCCCGATGGCTTGGGGGTCCACTATTTTTTCACAATTGTCTACTATAGTGAGGATGAAATAATAACAATAAAATTTTTTGTCCCGCTTTTTGTTTGTGAGAAATGAATTTTTTATTGGTATTTATTCGAGTTTTAGGGATGAAAATGACAACATTCCCCGATGGCTTGGGAGTCCACAATTTTTTTACAGTTGTCTACTATTGTGAGGATGAAAAAATAGCAATAAAATTTTTTGTCCCGCTTTTGGTTTGTGAGAAATGAATTTTTTATTGGTATTTTTCTGATTTTTTCGAGTTTTAGGGATGAAAATGACAACATTCCCCGATGGCTTGGGAGTCTACAATTTTTTCACAGTTGTCTACTATTGTGAGGATGAAAAAATAGCAATAAAATTTTTTGTCCCGCTTTTGGTTTGTAAGAAATGAATTTTTTATTGGTATTTTTCTGATTTTTTCGAGTTTTAGGGGTCAAAATGACAACTTTCCCCGATGGCTTGGGGGTCCACTATTTTTTCACAATTGTCTACTATAGTGAGGATGAAATAATAACAATAATATTTTTGGTCCCTCTTTTTGTTTGTGAGAAATGAATTTTTAATTGGTATTTTTTGGAGTTTTAGGGGTCAAAATGACAACTTTCCCCGATGGCTTGGGGGTCCACTATTTTTTCACAATTGTCTACTATAGTGAGGATGAAATAATAACAATAAAATTTTTGGTCCCGCTTTTTGTTTGTGAGAAATGAATTTTTTATTGGTATTTATTCGAGTTTTAGGGATGAAAATGACAACATTCCCCGATGGCTTGGGAGTCCACAATTTTTTTACAGTTGTCTACTATTGTGACGATGAAAAAATAGCAATAAAATTTTTTGTCCCGCTTTTGGTTTGTGAGAAATGAATTTTTTATTGGTATTTTTCTGATTTTTTCGAGTTTTAGGGGTCAAAATGACAACTTTCCCCGATGGCTTGGGGGTCCACTTTTTTTTCACAATTGTCTACTATAGTGAGGATGAAATAATAACAATAAAATTTTTGGTCCCGCTTTTTGTTTGTGAGAAATTAATTTTTTATTGGTATTTTTTCGAGTTTTAGGGATGAAAATGACAACTTTCCCCGATAGCTTGGGGGTCCACAATTTTTTCACAGTTGACTACTATAGTGAGGATGAAATAATAACAATAAAATTTTTGGTCCCGCTTTTTGTTTGTGAGAAATTAATTTTTTATTGGTATTTTTTCGAGTTTTAGGGATGAAAATGACAACTTTCCCCGATAGCTTGGGGGTCCACAATTTTTTCACAGTTGACTACTATTGTGAGGATGAAAAAATAGCAATAAAATTTTTGGTCCCGCTTTTTGTTTGTGAGAAATGAATTTTTTATTGGTATTTTTTCGATTTTTTCGAGTTTTAGGGGTCAAAATGACAACTTTCCCCGATGGCTTGGGGGTCAACAATTTTTGCGCAGTTGTCCACTATTGTGAGGATGAAAAAAAACAATAAAATTTTTTGTCCCGCTTTTGGTTTGTGAGAAATGAATTTTTTATTGGTATTTTTTCGAGTTTTAGGGATGAAAATGACAACATTCCCCGATGGCCTGGGGGTCCACAATTTTTTCACAGTTGTCTACTATTGTGAGGATGAAAAAATAGCAATAAAATTTTTGGTCCCGCTTTTGGTTTGTGAGAAATGAATTTTTTATTGGTATTTATTCGAGTTTTAGGGAGGAAAATGACAACATTCCCCGATGGCTTCGGAGTCCACAATTTTTTCACAGTTGTCTACTATTGTGAGGATGAAAAAATAGCAATAAAATTTTTTGTCCCGCTTTTGGTTTGTGAGAAATGAATTTTTTGTTGGTATTTTTCAGATTTTTTCGAGTTTTAGGGGTCAAAATGACAACTTTCCCCGATGGCTTGGGGGTCCACTATTTTTTCACAATTGTCCACTATTGTGAGGATGAAAAAAAACAATAACATTTTTGTCCCGCTTTTGGTTTGTGAGAAATAAATTTTTTATTGGTATTTTTCAGATTTTTTCGAGTTTTAGGGGTCAAAATGACAACTTTCCCCGATGGCTTGGGGGTCCACTATTTTTTCACAATTGTCCACTATTGTGATAATGAAAAAAAACAATAACATTTTTTGTCCCGCTTTTGGTTTGTGAGAAATGAATTTTTTATTGGTATTTTTCTGATTTTTTCGAGTTTTAGGGGTCAAAATGACAACTTTCCCCGATGGCTTGGGGGTCCACTTTTTTTCACAATTGTCTACTATAGTGAGGATGAAATAATAACAATAAAATTCTTGGTCCCGCTTTTTGTTTGTGAGAAATGAATTTTTTATTGGTATTTTTTCGAGTTTTAGGGATGAAAATGACAACTTTCCCCGATAGCTTGGGGGTCCACAATTTTTTCACAGTTGACTACTATTGTGAGGATGAAAAAATAGCAATAAAATTTTTTGTCCCGCTTTTGGTTTGTGAGAAATGAATTTTTTATTGGTATTTTTCAGATTTTTTCGAGTTTTAGGGGTCAAAATGACAACTTTCCCCGATGGCTTGGGGGTCCACTTTTTTTTCACAATTCTCCACTATTGTGAGGATGAAAAAAAACAATAAAATTTTTTGTCCCGCTTTTGGTTTGTGAGAAATGAATTTTTTATTGGTATTTTTTCGAGTTTTAGGGGTGAAATTGACAACTTTCCCCGATTGCTTGGGGGTCCACAATTTTTTCACAGTTGTCTACTATTGTGAGGATGAAAAAATAGCAATAAAATTTTTGGTCCCACTTTTGGTTTGTGAGAAATGAATTTTTTATTGGTATTTATTCGAGTTTTAGGGATGAAAATGACAACATTCCCCGATGGCTTGGGAGTCTACAATTTTTTCACAGTTGTCTACTATTGTGAGGATGAAAAAATAGCAATAAAATTTTTTGTCCCGCTTTTGGTTTGTGAGAAATGAATTTTTTATTGGTATTTTTCTGATTTTTTCGATTTTTAGGGGTCAAAATGACAACTTTCCCCGATGGCTTGGGGGTCCACTATTTTTTCACAATTGTCTACTATAGTGAGGATGAAATAATAACAATAAAATTTTTGGTCCCGCTTTTTGTTTGTGAGAAATGAATTTTTTATTGGTATTTATTCGAGTTTTAGGGATGAAAATGACAACATTCCCCGATGGCTTGGGAGTCCACAATTTTTTTACAGTTGTCTACTATTGTGAGGATGAAAAAATAGCAATAAAATTTTTTGTCCCGCTTTTGGTTTGTGAGAAATGAATTTTTTATTGGTATTTTTCTGATTTTTTCGAGTTTTAGGGATGAAAATGACAACATTCCCCGATGGCTTGGGAGTCTACAATTTTTTCACAGTTGTCTACTATTGTGAGGATGAAAAAATAGCAATAAAATTTTTTGTCCCGCTTTTGGTTTGTAAGAAATGAATTTTTTATTGGTATTTTTCTGATTTTTTCGAGTTTTAGGGGTCAAAATGACAACTTTCCCCGATGGCTTGGGGGTCCACTATTTTTTCACAATTGTCTACTATAGTGAGGATGAAATAATAACAATAATATTTTTGGTCCCTCTTTTTGTTTGTGAGAAATGAATTTTTAATTGGTATTTTTTGGAGTTTTAGGGGTCAAAATGACAACTTTCCCCGATGGCTTGGGGGTCCACTATTTTTTCACAATTGTCTACTATAGTGAGGATGAAATAATAACAATAAAATTTTTGGTCCCGCTTTTTGTTTTGTAACGATCGAAAATCGTTCCTATCAAACTTATTAAATGGTCGTTACCGTCAGCTCCCCGAAATTTGAATTACCGCGGGTCATGTAGCGTCTTGCCGCTAGGTGACGCAAGCGAACGGTTTGACTGCAGACGACAAAACCACGTTTTTGTCGTGAGCCGGAAAATAAAGAAAAAGCAGAGCGAAGCGTGCTACCGTCGAATAGACATATATTGTATATACCGCGGTTTAACTTATACTATTGTATCCATTTGAGTATTTTATAAATAAATTCTTTATATTGTGAAATAATTTTAATTGTGTGTGTCATAATTATTACATAGAAATCAGCTGGAGAACTCGTTGGATTACTTATTGCCGATTATTAATCATCTCCGGTAAGTTTGGTCGATTCTCTTTTCATTCTATCCAACTTTAATTGCCTGCATTGTTCACTGCTGCCAAATGGGAAAATTTCCGAGATGTTAAAGGATCATCCTTGTGGACTAAATTGTGCCTCCCGGACGAGTCGGACCCCTCTATTAATTAAATTAACGAAATAACAAACCTCGATGCACGGGTTGTCACATTTTTGGCGCCCAACGTGATTTTTTTTATGCCAAAATTGTGTTATTAACCACAATTTTAGCACCCAACATTTAAATTTCTTTTTTTACTACAATTTCAATAAATAATTCTTGAAATCCTTCTACCGGTAACTTCGATAAAATTAGTGATACTGTACTATAAATTTTTATTAATAATGAAAAATTTTCATCTACTCTCACTATTTTACGTATAAATTACCGAACCACAAGGAGAATTCCTGAAATATCTAAGAGAATTCTAAATAAAATGCTTTTACGCTTAGTTATATACAACTTACAATTATTTTTCTCTCTTTCTACGCACAATCGCTCTCGCTCTCACAACCATTTTTCAATCACAGTTATATTTAACCGTTTATAAAAATAATTGCTTATTCGCTTACACTCAATTATCGTAAAAATAAATTATTTATGCGCTTTACGCTTAATTTTTTGTAAAATAATTTGCTTATTCGCTAATTGAAAAATGAAATGCTTATCGCTTTTGCTAAATTCTTTGTATTAATATATTGCCTGCTTGCTTTTGCTTTATTGATTTGCGAAAAATCGAAATCTGTATAATTGTTATATCTTTGAAAATTATAATTAATGATTTCAATTATCATGGGTGATAACCGCGTCATTTTTTCTTTCCAAAATTTACTTTTTTAAAATACAGTAGTGACAAAGAAACCACTACATAGAGCGTAATCTCTAAGTTCAAAACACAGCTGTGTTTACATTTACAACTCAGCACGGTCTCTTGTCACCAACAGTCTTTCTGATTAAAATTTTAATTTCTCAAATATTATTTCATTACTAAAAATATTTGACCACCAATAAATCGAAATTAAAATTTTTTTTTTTCTTTTCTCTTTCTCTTTTAAAAATAAATTCCCCTTATTATAAAATTCAATGAATTTCAAAATTCGCTAAATAATAAAATTCAGTAAATGACAAAATTCATTGAATAACAAAATTTAATAAATAATAAAATTTAGTACAAAAAAAAAATTATCTAATAAATAATAAAATTTATTAAATAATAAAAATTAATAAATAATAAAATTTACTGAATAATAAACTCAATAAATGATAAAAATTTATTAAATAATTAAATGCAATAATTAATAAAATTTAACTAAATTCAATTAAATTAAATAAACTACAAATTCCATTTTTTTTTCTTTTTTCATAATTTTTTTTCTTTTCTCTCCTTTAAAAAAAAAAAAAAAAAGAAAATAAATCAAAGAGGGAAATAAAAATAATGACAAGAAGAGACGACAAAAAGAAAAAGATTACTGACAGACCTATAACACGCTCTCAAAGTAAATTAACCGAATTAACTACCAACATGATGCGAACACCCCCAGCCCAACAAACCAACCAAGGCCCACCATTACACGAGAATGAACAGGAAAATGCATCATCTTCGGTACCACTAAACGATGCATCCGAAGCAATACAAAGTGCTTCCAACACGGTGCACACTATCCCCACCGAAACGTTACAAGACACTCTTAGCTCGATTCCACATATCTCTAAAAATGGAACAACACCTAAATTAACATTTCAAACACGCCGCGGTAGACCCTCAAAATCAAAGAAAACTCCAACTAATCTCATTCAAATAAAAGAAATTTGCCAACAATTAAAATCTCTCAACGCAAATCAAATTGATCAAAATAACCAATTTAAATTGCAAATGCAACAAACGTTTGAACAACACTTGTTAGAATCAAGGCAACAAATACAAACATTATACAAAGAAAACCGCAGCGAATTTAAATCTATGAGAACAGAAACTTTCCAATTAATTACAAAATTTCGCGAAGAAACAAATACCGCGATAAATGACCTTACACATAAATTTTCAGAATTGCAATCTAAACAAATGCAATCACCCTGGCATGATTCGCGATGGGAATCCATCGATAGGTCGTATCTTACTTCCGGAGGAAGCTACCCGCAACCTACGTCACTACCTCCCACGTTACCCACAACCACGGTAACAACAACATGCGCGACAACAAGCGCAACGTCAAGTGCGAGACCAGCTGTGACAACCAACCCCTCCTTACTTACCTTCGATACCCCTTCTCTTGGAACATCCTTCCCCACTCGCACACTACAATTCAATAATCAGCCAGATTATTTTGGACAAACATCCACGTTGTTTCCACCCCCGGCCACGAGACCCTCGCGGCCACCAATGGTTAACCCCATTGCCCCACCCCAACCAGCACCTAGAAATACAGTGCCCAATTTACATAAAATAATTAAATCATGGGAACTAAAATATCCTGGGAAACTAGATGCTGATGCATTCTTAGACGAATTCGAACGGAAACTAGCCGCATCCGCGATCAATCCCGATGACGCGCTAACTACGTTACCGCAAGCTTTCTCAGAAACCGCGTACACTTGGTTCGCGACATTCCGAACAACCTGGCAAACCTGGGCTGAATTCTCAGCCAAATTCAGAAAAACGTTCGGCGATGCAAACGACGACCAACAAATTAATAATAAAATCCAACGCGCGATCCAACAAGAAAACGAAACCGGAATAGAATTCGTCATTAGAATAAGTGCTCTGTACAATAAATTACAAGAAAAAGTACTAGAGAAAAATCAATTAGATAAAATTTATTCGGCCCTCCACTCGGAATTAATTTTACAATTCGACCGCGAGAGCTTCTCTTCATATGATCAATTAATTGAAAAAATTCGAAAATATGAAGAGAAAATTGCAACTATGCAATTATCGAATAAATTACGAGAAATCGAGTCAAAGAAATCGCACAAGTCACGCGGGAAAAACCAGTTGAACGCGATTGAAACTCAAACGCCACCAACCGATAAAGAACCGCAGACTACCGCAAAACCGGAAATAAAATTGGGAACTGAAACCAAACAAACTAAAAATAATAAAAAGCAAAATAACAAACCGGAAAATAACTCGAATAAACTCGATATCTATAAACAACAAATAAATAGTCTCGAACAAAAATTAAAACTCGAGAATTCAAACACCAAGCAAAAAGCAGATAAAAACAAAGCCACTGCGGCCCCTGTTCGGGCCACACCTTCGCGCCGTCGATCTTCTTCTGATTCTTCTTCTTCCTCCAGCTCTGCTTCGTCGCGAAAGAGGGGAGAGAAACGTAGATCGTCTACCCGCAAAGAAAAAGACCGCGGTGACACGAAACGGAGTGACGATAGTCAACCAAGCAGCCACCGGGGCGGAAAACAAAATGGTAACCGCGGCCGTGGAAACAACTGGCGTGGTTTCGGACGCGGATATAATAACAACTACAATTATTATCCGAACATACCGCAATTTCCGCCTAACTTCTACCCAGCTCCGCAACCGCCTCCGCATCCAGGCTTACAACAGTGGTATGGTTATTTTAACCAAGAACAAAATCAACCTAATTCATCTCAGTCAAAAAACGACCAAGATGCCAGGAGAGAGTAACTCTTCCTGGCAAATCAACAAATTCGAATAACGAGAATTCCGTAAACCGCGTTATAACCGCTTCACCAGAAATCCCAAGCCGCAGTAATACGCCCATAGACTCAACGTGTACTTCTCAAACTGTACCAATGCTTAATAAAGCAAGCACCAGTAGAGACTACACTAGTGACTCTGAAAGCGATTACGACGACGCAGCTTACTCGGATTCTGAAACAGAGTACCCTGACTCTAGCGAAGAGCTTTCCTCCACCGATCGGACGCGATCAGTAGGACCAAGCATATCTTCACTAACGTCATTACCTTTAATAAAACCAGCCATAGGCATATTAGCCGCGGCTGAAAAATTGAAGCGACTAGTACGAAAAGGACCAGCCTCGTCCTCTCCATCTCACTTACGTAATACAATTACGACATTAATAAAAATTGGCGGTAAACAATTTATGGCTCTCCTCGACACGGGAAGTGATCGTACTTTCATGTCCGGAGAAATTTATGACAAACTGGAAGAATTTGCGCGCGTTAAACCAATACTAGATGAGGTAACCCGCACAGGCGTACAACTCGCTCAGCGCGACCACATAGCCACCCCTCGTTATTCCGTAAAATTTGAAACGCAAATAAATGATTGCACAGGAGAACTTTGGTTTACAGTTCTCGATGGGCTTACGACCCCCATTATCCTCGGAATGGACTTCATAACCGCGTGGAAGGTCACTATAGATGCATCCCGCGGCGATTGGTCCATAGAAGGATCAAATGTACAATCCCCCTTAGGCTCGACCGTAAGTAAGCTTAGTCACTTAAACTCAATTCAGTTAATTGAGTTGACGGCTGAACAGCGGAAAACTTTAGATGAATTTATAGAAAGAAAATTGGCTAGCTTCTCCTCTTACACAGGAGTTACAAATTTAACCAAACATGTTATCGAATTAATCGATTCAACACCGTTTAAGTTAAAACCGTACCGCCGCAGTGCGGAAGCTACCAAAATAATTAACGAGCAAATCGATAAGTATTTAGAAAAGAAATTTATAGTAAAAAGCCAAGGCCGTTATTGTAGCCCAGTCGTGTTAACTTATCGAAAAGACGGTAGACCCAGAGTATGTATGGATTACCGAAAATTAAACAAAAATACCAAAAAATCGGCATATCCATTACCGCGGATGGATACAATTCTAGACGCGCTCTCCGAGGCAAATGTTATCAGTACCATCGACCTCACGGATGCATTCCACCACATTCCAATAGATCCAAATTCACGGGAATATACTGCCTTTGTAGTACCCGGACGCGGCCAATTCGAATGGGTACGGATGCCCTTTGGTCTCACTAACGCACCAGCAACTTTTCAGGCCTTAACCGATCGTCTCAAAGAAAAGTTCGTTAAATACGTGCGCGATAATAATCTACCGGAAAGATTTACTGATCAAGTTCATGCGTATCTTGATGATTGGATAATCATCTCGCGAACTTTTGAAGAACACATTATGCTACTAGATATTATATTTACAATATTACAGGAAGCAGGACTTTCTATTAATAGAGAAAAATCTCATTTCGCTAAGTCTACAGTAGAGTACTTAGGATTTCTCTTAGATAAGGATGGCCTAAAACCAAACCCTAAACGAATCGAACCGATTCTTGAACGGTCAACTCCGCGGAATCGGAAAGAATTAAGACAATTCAACGGTTCGGTCAATTGGTACCACCGACACTTGCGAAATATCGCGCGAGTACAGGGACCGCTCAACAAGCTAGCCAGCCCTAAAGTACCATGGAATTGGACCGCGGAACATGAAAAATCTTTCATGGAGGTTAAAGAATCTTTAAGAAATGCTTTAACTCTTGTTGCCCCGCGTCCTGGGCTACCTTATCTTCTCTATACGGATGCGAGTGATACCGGTATCGGTGCAATCTTGACTCAAAAAGATGGAGACCGCGAGTATCTTATTACCTGCCTAAGCAGACCTTTAAGAGGTGCGGAATTAAATTACACCACCACCGAAAAGGAATGCTTGGCAGTTATTTTTGCAATCAGAAAGCTCCGTTGCTACCTTGAAGCCACTGAGTTCACGGTAATAACGGACCATTCAAGTTTGATCTGGTTGCAAGGTGTTAAGGACCCTCGAGGTAGGCTTGCAAGATGGGCCTTAGAGCTATCTGCAAACCAAGTCAAGATTGAACACCGCAAAGGTACTTTAAACGAAGCTCCAGATACGCTCTCTCGTTTATACGAAGATGTACCTGATGAAGCGCCCCTATTACGTTCGAATCACATTCATAACCTATCATGGTATGAAAACATGGTAAAACGCGTACGCGGTAACCCAACACAGTTCGAACGATATCGGCTCGATTCCGAGGATAAATTGTATTATTTTAAGCCTAATCATATTAAAGAATGTATCGGCGATAATAACGCCTGGAAAAAGGTGTTAAAAGAAGACGAGATTATCCCTATAATAAAAGAATATCACGACTCACCACAATCGGCTCACCAAGGTATTAATAAAACCTATCACGCAATACTTAACCTATATTATTGGCCTGGTATGCGTGAAGATGTAAAACGTTATATTAACGAGTGTGAAACTTGTCTCAAATGCAAACCCAAGAATACTCCTCCACAAGGTCTAATGTATCCACGGAAACTGAAAGAACCTTGGGAAAACGTATCTCTAGACATCGTAGGCCCTCTTCCGCGGTCAAAATCCGGTAAGCGATATATATTAGTCTGTGAAGACACTTATACTCGGTTCATAGATTGCTTCCCCTTATCTAAAGCTGATGGACCAAAAATTGTCAGAGCTCTTAACACCCTCGTAAATCGATGGGGAACCCCGAGAATCTTCATTACCGACAATGGAACGGAATTCGTCAACCGTAACATCACGAATTTTATGTATAGAGTCGGTTCCGAACAACGTACCACACCGGTATATCACCCACAAGCGAACCCAGTAGAACGCGTAAACCGCAATCTGAAAATGATGATCGCCAGTCTACTAGGTACCGATCACCGCGAATGGGACGTACTCTTAGAAGAAATCCAGTTTGCATACAACAACACTACACACTCTTCCTTAGGTGTATCACCCGCGTATTTTAACCACCTGCGTGAGTTGAGACGCACTGGTAAACAATCACCTGACGTCACTGACAACGCTACGATTACCGACGAAACCTCGAATGTTTGGCTTGAACGAGCAAAACACATAGACGCACTTCGTACAAAAATAGAGTTGGAAATGACCAAAGCTGATAAGAGACACCGCAAGGTTTATAATAAAAATCGAAAAACCCCGGTAGACTTCGAACTTGGAGATTTCGTATTCTACCCTAATAACGTTTTATCTAATGCTGCGCGTAATTTTAGCTCTAAACTGGCACCCCGTTACAGAGGACCAGCCAAAGTAATAGAAAAGTTGTCACCCTTGGTAGTCGTCATTGGCGATTTGCAAGGCATAAAAATTGGCAAATACCATGTCAATGATCTTAAGCCGGCACGTAAAACTCTTCGGTCGCGAAACATTCTGTAAAATTTTCTTTCAGATTACGGTCATCATGTCGACTCCAACCAGCTCATATGTCAGTAGCATCAATACCACGGAAATACCAATACTGTGCCTAAGCGAGGCTCCAGATTCTTCTCAATTTGGAGATTCATCATGGGACGTCTCTGTAGAGACCTCAGGCTTGGTAGCCATGAAGCGGGAACAGTTTGAAGGTCTACTCACAAACCAACGTACTCTAGCTGAGAAAGTCGCGGAACAGGCCGAAACAATTAAGCTTTTGCGCCAGCAGATCGACACCGATAAGGTCACGCGGAAGCCAAGTAACACACCGAGTGACATCACTGATCTCTACAAACAATTGTTAGACACAATCCACAAAGAGCGAGAAGCCTCTAACTCCTTAGTGACAGCCCAGAATGAGTTGGCCCGTTGCAAAGCTGATAATAAATCTTTGAAGGCTGAACTCGAATCATATGATTATGACTACAATAGTTTAACTAAAGACTACACTGCGTTGGAAAAGCTCCACAAGAAAATTAAAGAGCTCTTCACCGCAAAAATGACGGAAGTATTCCTTGCCCAGGCAGAACTACGGGAACCGAGATTACGCCCGAAAGCATCTGAGGGATGCTTAAATTGCGGTCAATCAGGACACAGTTTTAGGCTTTGTAAGCAACCATACACGGGAAGATACTGCCAGAAATGTGCCATCGAAGGATTTTCCACTGCTGACTGCCCATGGCCCCATTACGCCATGGTCAAATACCAAGTGCCAGAATGTAATCGATGCAAACATTGCTGGAGACCGCGTAACTTACCAGACGCTAACTGCTACGAGTGCCGGAGGCGAATGATTGCATCAAACATCTACTCGCGAAACAAAGCAATCCAGCAGCAAGAGAGACAACCAGTCTCCACAGTCCGTGATAGGCCACAACCATCCACTAATCAAGGTGCTATCCAAAAACAAAATACGCCACCAGCTCCGTCCAAGGAACAGCTTAATCCAAAAACCGCGGATCCAAAACTGTCAGACAAATTGGATATTCCACTTACACCAAAGACGCTTAAGGCTGGGATCTTTGCTGAGAATGTCCCGGAGGAATCTCCAAGGTCAGCGATATCTCCACTAGACTCTGACGATAACAACGCGGAATTCTGGGGAACGCTTTCCGAAGCTATCAACATTGGCATCGAATCAGAAACGGAGTGATAGACATATCACCCTATACCAAATTTTATTTTCTTACTTTTCGTTAACAATTTCCGACAAAACGATCTCGTTAACTTTATTATTATTTTTATTTTCGCGCCGTTGCGCCTATTGATAATTTAGATTTTCTATTATTAAAAACATTATTCCGCGCCGTTGCGCTACAGAATCTTTCTTAGTTACAAGTTAATTGTTACTTCTATCAAAAAAAAATTATTTCTGTTACAAAGAAAAAATAATTATTTAATTTTTTACCTTCGTACTATTCAGTAATTATTAGTTGTACTTAAATAATGTGTTCTTTTCCTCACTATCACTAAATAAATAAATAAAGTGAGATAATTCGTCTCTGTCATTCTTATTGTTCTTTTCTCGGCGTCGTCATGCACACACAATTAAACCCGTCTCATAAAACCCTAATGCGTATGGCAGCTGTGAACGATCTTTCCAATATATTTTTATTACCTTTATTTCGTTAAAAATATTCAATTTATTCTTTTGACTATTAACTTTACCTAACAGGCAAGTAAATGTTGGATGGAGTCGTCGTTCGGGAGAGATGATCGACCGAACACTGGAGCTGCCAGTAACGACAATTCAGAAGGGGGGAGTTGTAACGATCGAAAATCGTTCCTATCAAACTTATTAAATGGTCGTTACCGTCAGCTCCCCGAAATTTGAATTACCGCGGGTCATGTAGCGTCTTGCCGCTAGGTGACGCAAGCGAACGGTTTGACTGCAGACGACAAAACCACGTTTTTGTCGTGAGCCGGAAAATAAAGAAAAAGCAGAGCGAAGCGTGCTACCGTCGAATAGACATATATTGTATATACCGCGGTTTAACTTATACTATTGTATCCATTTGAGTATTTTATAAATAAATTCTTTATATTGTGAAATAATTTTAATTGTGTGTGTCATAATTATTACATAGAAATCAGCTGGAGAACTCGTTGGATTACTTATTGCCGATTATTAATCATCTCCGGTAAGTTTGGTCGATTCTCTTTTCATTCTATCCAACTTTAATTGCCTGCATTGTTCACTGCTGCCAAATGGGAAAATTTCCGAGATGTTAAAGGATCATCCTTGTGGACTAAATTGTGCCTCCCGGACGAGTCGGACCCCTCTATTAATTAAATTAACGAAATAACAAACCTCGATGCACGGGTTGTCACAGTTTGTGAGAAATGAATTTTTTATTGGTATTTATTCGAGTTTTAGGGATGAAAATGACAACATTCCCCGATGGCTTGGGAGTCCACAATTTTTTTACAGTTGTCTACTATTGTGACGATGAAAAAATAGCAATAAAATTTTTTGTCCCGCTTTTGGTTTGTGAGAAATGAATTTTTTATTGGTATTTTTTCGAGTTTTAGGGGTGAAATTGACAACTTTCCCCGATGGCTTGGGGGTCAACAATTTTTGCGCAGTTGTCCACTATTGTGAGGATGAAAAAAAACAATAAAATTTTTTGTCCCGCTTTTGGTTTGTGAGAAATGAATTTTTTATTGGTATTTTTTCGAGTTTTAGGGATGAAAATGACAACTTTCCCCGATAGCTTGGGGGTCCACAATTTTTTCACAGTTGACTACTATTGTGAGGATGAAAAAATAGCAATAAAATTTTTGGTCCCGCTTTTTGTTTGTGAGAAATGAATTTTTTATTGGTATTTTTTCGATTTTTTCGAGTTTTAGGGGTCAAAATGACAACATTCCCCGATGGCTTCGGAGTCCACAATTTTTTCACAGTTGTCTACTATTGTGAGGATGAAAAAATAGCAATAAAATTTTTTGTCCCGCTTTTGGTTTGTGAGAAATGAATTTTTTATTGGTATTTTTCAGATTTTTTCGAGTTTTAGGGGTCAAAATGACAACTTTCCCCGATGGCTTGGGGGTCCACTATTTTTTCACAATTGTCCACTATTGTGAGGATGAAAAAAAACAATAACATTTTTGTCCCGCTTTTGGTTTGTGAGAAATAAATTTTTTATTGGTATTTTTCAGATTTTTTCGAGTTTTAGGGGTCAAAATGACAACTTTCCCCGATGGCTTGGGGGTCCACTATTTTTTCACAATTGTCCACTATTGTGAGGATGAAAAAAAACAATAAAATTTTTTGTCCCGCTTTTGGTTTGTGAGAAATGAATTTTTTATTGGTATTTTTCTGATTTTTTCGAGTTTTAGGGGTCAAAATGACAACTTTCCCCGATGGCTTGGGGGTCCACTTTTTTTCACAATTGTCTACTATAGTGAGGATGAAATAATAACAATAAAATTTTTGGTCCCGCTTTTTGTTTGTGAGAAATGAATTTTTTATTGGTATTTTTTCGAGTTTTAGGGATGAAAATGACAACTTTCCCCGATGGCTTGGGGGTCCACAATTTTTTCACAGTTGTCTACTATTGTGAGGATGAAAAAATAGCAATAAAATTTTTTGTCCCGCTTTTGGTTTGTGAGAAATGAATTTTTTATTGGTATTTTTCAGATTTTTTCGAGTTTTAGGGGTCAAAATGACAACTTTCCCCGATGGCTTGGGGGTCCACTATTTTTTCACAATTGTCCACTATTGTGAGGATGAAAAAAAACAATAAAATTTTTTGTCCCGCTTTTGGTTTGTGAGAAATGAATTTTTTATTGGTATTTTTTCGAGTTTTAGGGGTGAAAATGACAACTTTCCCCGATGGCTTGGGGGTCCACAATTTTTTCACAGTTGTCTACTATTGTGAGGATGAAAAAATAGCAATAAAATTTTTGGTCCCGCTTTTGGTTTGTGAGAAATGAATTTTTTATTGGTATTTTTTCGAGTTTTAGGGATGAAAATGACAACTTTCCCCGATGGCTTGGGGGTCCACAATTTTTTCACAGTTGTCTACTATTGTGAGGATGAAAAAATAGCAATAAAATTTTTTGTCCCGCTTTTGGTTTGTGAGAAATGAATTTTTTATTGGTATTTTTCTGATTTTTTCGAGTTTTAGGGGTCAAAATGACAACTTTCCCCGATGGCTTGGGGGTCCACTATTTTTTCACAATTGTCTACTATAGTGAGGATGAAATAATAACAATAAAATTTTTGGTCCCGCTTTTTGTTTGTGAGAAATGAATTTTTTATTGGTATTTATTTCGAGTTTTAGGGATGAAAATGACAACATTCCCCGATGGCTTGGGGGTCCACAATTTTTTCACAGTTGTCTACTATTGTGAGGATGAAAAAATAGCAATAAAATTTTTTGTCCCGCTTTTGGTTTGTGAGAAATGAATTTTTTATTGGTATTTTTCTGATTTTTTCGAGTTTTAGGGATGAAAATGACAACTTTCCCCGATGGCTTGGGAGTCCACAATTTTTTCACAGTTGTCTACTATTGTGAGGATGAAAAAATAGCAATAAAATTTTTTGTCCCGCTTTTGGTTTGTGAGAAATGAATTTTTTATTGGTATTTTTCTGATTTTTTCGAGTTTTAGGGGTCAAAATGACAACTTTCCCCGATGGCTTGGGGGTCCACTATTTTTTCACAATTGTCTACTATAGTGAGGATGAAATAATAACAATAAAATTTTTGGTCCCGCTTTTTGTTTGTGAGAAATGAATTTTTTATTGGTATTTTTTTCGAGTTTTAGGGGTCAAAATGACAACTTTCCCCGATGGCTTGGGGGTCCACTATTTTTTCACAGTTGTCTACTATTGTGAGGATGAAAAAATAACAATAAAATTTTTGGTCCCGCTTTTTGTTTGTGAGAAATGAATTTTTTATTGGTATTTTTTCGAGTTTTAGGGATGAAAATGACAACTTTCCCCGATGGCTTGGGGGTCCACAATTTTTTCACAGTTGTCTACTATTGTGAGGATGAAAAAATAGCAATAAAATTTTTTGTCCCGCTTTTGGTTTGTGAGAAATGAATTTTTTATTGGTATTTTTTCGAGTTTTAGGGGTCAAAATGACAACTTTCCCCGATGGCTTGGGGGTCCACAATTTTTTCACAGTTGTCTACTATTGTGAGGATGAAAAAATACAATAAAATTTTTGGTCCCGCTTTTTGTTTGTGAGAAATGAATTTTTTATTGGTATTTTTTCGAGTTTTAGGGATGAAAATGACAACTTTCCCCGATGGCTTGGGGGTCCACAATTTTTTCACAGTTGTCTAGTATTGTGAGGATGAAAAAATAGCAATAAAATTTTTGGTCCCGCTTGTGGTTTGTGAGAAATGAATTTTTTATTGGTATTTTTCTGATTTTTTCGAGTTTTAAAGGGTCAAAATGACAACTTTCCCCGATGGCTTGGGGGTCCACTATTTTTTCACAGTTGTCTACTATTGTGAGGATGAAATAATAACAATAAAATTTTTGGTCCCGCTTTTTGTTTGTGAGAAATGAATTTTTTATTGGTATTTTTTCGAGTTTTAGGGATGAAAATGACAACTTTCCCCGATGGCTTGGGGGTCCACAATTTTTTCACAGTTGTCTAGTATTGTGAGGATGAAAAAATAGCAATAAAATTTTTGGTCCCGCTTTTGGTTTGTGAGAAATGAATTTATTATTGGTATTTTTCGATTTTTTCGAGTTTTAGGGGTCAAAATGACAACTTTCCCCGATGGCTTGGGGGTCCACAATTTTTTCACAGTTGTCTACTATTGTGAGGATGAAAAAAAACAATAAAATTTTTGTCCCGCTTTTGGTTTGTGAGAAATGAATTTTTTATTGGTATTTTTCGATTTTTTCGAGTTTTAGGGGTCAAAATGACAACTTTCCCCGATGGCTTGGGGGTCCACAATTTTTTCACAGTTGTCTACTATTGTGAGGATGAAAAAATAGCAATAAAATTTTTTGTCCCGCTTTTGGTTTGTGAGAAATGAATTTTTTATTGGTATTTTTCTGATTTTTTCGAGTTTTAGGGGTCAAAATGACAACTTTCCCCGATGGCTTGGGGGTCCACAATTTTTTCACAGTTGTCTACTATTGTGAGGATGAAAAAAACAATAAAATTTTTGGTCCCGCTTTTGGTTTGTGAGAAATGAATTTTTTATTGGTATTTTTTCGAGTTTTAGGGTGAAAATGACAACTTTCCCCGATGGCTTGGGGGTCCACAATTTTTTCACAGTTGTCTACTATTGTGAGGATGAAAAAATAGCAATAAAATTTTTGGTCCCGCTTTTGGTTTGTGAGAAATGAATTTTTTATTGGTATTTTTTCGAGTTTTAGGGATGAAAATGACAACTTTCCCCGATGGCTTGGGGGTCCACAATTTTTTCACAGTTGTCTACTATTGTGAGGATGAAAAAATAGCAATAAAATTTTTTGTCCCGCTTTTGGTTTGTGAGAAATGAATTTTTTATTGGTATTTTTCTGATTTTTTCGAGTTTTAGGGGTCAAAATGACAACTTTCCCCGATGGCTTGGGGGTCCACTATTTTTTCACAATTGTCTACTATAGTGAGGATGAAATAATAACAATAAAATTTTTGGTCCCGCTTTTTGTTTGTGAGAAATGAATTTTTTATTGGTATTTTTTCGAGTTTTAGGGATGAAAATGACAACTTTCCCCGATGGCTTGGGGGTCCACAATTTTTTCACAGTTGTCTACTATTGTGAGGATGAAAAAATAGCAATAAAATTTTTGGTCCCTCTTTTTGTTTGTGAGAAATGAATTTTTTATTGGTATTTTTCTGATTTTTTCGAGTTTTAGGGATGAAAATGACAACTTTCCCCGATAGCTTGGGGGTCCACAATTTTTTCACAGTTGTCTACTATTGTGAGGATGAAAAAATAGCAATAAAATTTTTTGTCCCGCTTTTGGTTTGTGAGAAATGAATTTTTTATTGGTATTTTTCTGATTTT